TGAGTGTATCCGCGACCCCTATGAAAGAGTTACAGAGATGGGGTTTAATCCCCCTGACTCCAGTGCCGGATGAAGCTAGTGCAGGGCCTGTAAGCAAATGTTATAAAGGGGACCTAAATAAATAAAAACACGCACAAATATTAAAACATAAATGTTTAACTTGCATAATAAAGTCATTAAATTTATTAATCTGCTATACAGCCAGATAATACGACAAATCGCTAACCTTAAACACCCAGTCGTTGATAAAAGTTGAAGGCGGTACAGTACTATAGTAACAGAGCAAGTGTAGAATCACTGAACCGGAATTGACAGCTTGAAAGCGTTTAGCGCGGGGCCCTTGAAAGTGCGGGGCCCGTAGCTACTACATATGGTGTAGCTACTACACTACTACACGTGTGTAGTAGTAGCTACATATGTAGTAGCTGCTACACATATGTAGCTGCTACTACATATGTAGTAGATGCTACTACACGTGTAGTAGCTACTACACGTGTAGTAGTAGCTGCTACTACATATGTAGCTCCTACATGTGTAGTAGCTACTACACATATGTAGTAGTAGTAGCTACTACATATGTAGTAGCTGCTACACGTGTAGCTGCTACTACATATGTAGCTCCTACATGTGTAGTAGCTACTACTACTACACGTGTAGTAGTAGTAGCTACTGCACGTTTAGTAGCAGCTACACGTGTAACAGCTAATACACGTGTAGCTACTTTTGCTACGGGGATAATCCGACACTGCCTGACCCCCTTCTCCCTCAACTGCCGATGCGCCCCCAGGCCCGGCTTCCCGTGAAGTGGATGGCTCCAGAGAGCGTGTTCGACTGCGTGTTCTCCCTGAAGAGCGACGTGTGGTCCTATGGGGTCCTCGTCTGGGAGATCTACTCCTACGGTACGGCGCCGCCGCCCCCACATCATCATCAGTCGCTTGCCCCAAGCTGGAGCGTAGCAGTCCCCACGAGACACCGCCAGGATCCCCCCACCCCGCTCCACACACAGGGGCATCCCCCACAAACGGGTCCCCCACGCACAGAACCCCCATAACTTCCAGCACCTCCGATTAGCACGGTTGGCTACGTACGGTGCGAAAGACGTTCAACATACGTGCAGTGTTGTCCTGCACACTGGTGTTCCCGCACGGGGGTCCTCCACACAACCCTCCAACACCCCCCCCCCCCACACACACACACAAAGGGGTCCCCCGCACACACAGAACCTGCACACAAAGGTGCTCTGAATGCTGGTGTCCCACACACAGGGAGCCCCCACATAGCCCTCCACCCCCCCCCCCCCCCCACCACTCAGCTGCCGCACACAGGAGTTGTGTGCGGAATGCTCAGGTGAACGGCTCACGTGTGTGTGCAGGTGAGAGCCCCTACCCTCACCTGGAAGTGGACGACACGTTCTTCCATCTCCTCCAGGATGGGTATCGCATGGAGGTGCCCAAGGGCTGCCCCCCAGCCATGTGGGTCAACCACTCAACAACTCCACCACTCACTCAGTCAACCACTTACTCAGTTAACCACTCACTCACTTGAACATTCACCAACTCAAGCAGTCAACCACTCACTCAGTCAACCACTCACTCACTCACTCAAACGTTCACCCTCTCAAGCAGTCAACCACTCACTCAGTAAACCACTCACTCACTCAAACGTTCACCCTCTCAAGCAGTCAACCACTCACTCAGTCAACCACTCACTCAAACATTTACCCTCTCAAGCAGTCAACCACTCACTCAGTCAACCACTCACTCACTCACTCACACATTCACCCACTCAAGCAGTCAACCACTCACTCAGTCAACCACTCACTCAAACATTTACCCTCTCAAGCAGTCAACCACTCACTCAGTCAACCACTCACTCAAACATTCACCCTCTCAAGCAGTCAACCACTCACTCAGTCAACCACTCACTCAAACATTCACCCTCTCAAGCAGTCAACCACTCACTCAGTCAACCACTCACTCAGTCAACCACTCACTCAAACATTCACCCACTCAAGCAGTCAAACACTCACTCAGTCAACCACTAACTCAGTCAACCACTAACTCAGTCAACCACTCACTCAAACATTCACCCAGGCAAGCAGTCAACCACTCACTCACTCAAACATTCACCAACTCAAGCAGTCATCCACTCAGTCACTCGCTCAAACATTCACTCAACTCACAAACTAATTCACTATACCACTTCCCCAACTCCCTGTCCTCTGCCCGTGCCCCAGGTATGAGCTCATGCTCCTGTGTTGGGACACGACCCCCGCCGTCCGCCCGGCGTTCCGTGACATCGAGGCTCTGCTTGCTCACATGATGCCGCGTAGCGAGGAAAAGGGTTCCATGGGTCTCGAGACGGTAGAGAATCTGTTTAACACGTAGGAGGCTTTCGCGACCAATATTATTCATGATAGAGGTTTTTGGGTTAGATCGCGTTATTTATAAATGTGTCGTAGCCCTCCACCACTTTGCTATTCTCAATTATTTTTGCAACCTCGTGTCTAGTCATCTCTGCCTCATTATGTGGAAGGAGTCTTACTGCTGATTGTCTGAGCAATGATCTCATCCACTGGAATTGTGCGTGGGGTAACGGCAAAGTTAAGACCTTTAGAAAGGACAGAGATCATGTCACTGGTTAAAACAGTGTTAGTCAAGTTCATTAATTGATTTTGATAACGTTGAAGTGTTGTGTAAAACTAATTATTACTGGCAAAGATTAATTAGAGAATCCATTGAAATTGAGAGAAATAGAAACATCTTTAATCGCTCTGACAGCTACAGGCTTAGTGTCGCCTGGAAGCATATTATTAAATAATACATATTACAATTCCTTATAGGGGAAGCACATACTAATTAACTGATTACTAACGTAGCATATAATTACAATAACACACATTATAACTAATTACTAATCTACAACTCATTACTAATCTTAACCATTAACTGATTACCAATCTATTATCTAATTACAATACTCCCCTCCGCCTCAAATCACTGCACCTGAATGAGTTAAATGATGACGTCACCCTGCTGCTGCTTTATTTAAGACCGGGAGCAAGTGGAGAGGGCTTCACCATTCTGGCGGATTGCCCGATTACCCTGTATGTAATTACCAGCGAAACGTCGTACTCAAAAACTGTAAATGTTGTGGATTCACTCTTCAACACACGGGTGGACTAAAATAGTGAACTATTTTGTCTTTTGTCAACGTGACAATTTTTTTTCTGATTGGCCGTGTCGGGTGGTGGAGGGTTACGACACATTCATAAATAACGCGACCTAACCCCAAAAACCTTTATTATGAACGGTATAGGATCTGATTGACTACGGGCTACCAGGCAGAGTAGAAAGTTCATATGCCCAGTTGGTGCGTAGGGAGTCCCTTTGTCGGCGTTGAACGGGTTTAATGCAGAGGAGCATTCGCCCGTCATTAAACCCATCATTAATGCTTTAATGCTCGCCACTGATGATGTGTTACTATTCATGACGAATCCGTAATTACAAGGGATTAATTTAATCGACTCGGAAAAATGCAGTGATTCGGGAAATGTTTTCGCATCCGGCACACCACATCGAATATATCTCCTGCTACGGCTGTGGCCAATGGCCATGGCCGACTTCTGTGGCGCAGAAAACATTAAAATCTGGAACCAAGCCTCGTGGAATATAATTGAGTTACTACTGATTAGTCATGAATAGTCTTATTACGCATTTAATAAAAAAATAATCATGCTTAGAATGTACAGGCTTTGTCAGTCCACTGTTGAACGAAACCTCCCCATGCAGTTTCAGTAATGGGGGGCGGGGGGGGTGGTTTAACCATACTTCACCACACTGGTCAATGTGGGTTGGTAAAGAGAGCACCCAGGACCGGTTCAGATGTCGCTCACCACTGTTAGTCGTGATTGGGAACTTAACTGAGGTCACTGGGTTCGTAGTGCGGTGCACTAATTGCCAGACCACCACCCCACTCCATGACACCACCACCGAATTTACAAAGATGGCCACTAGCATCGCGCGCTTTCAGATGTTCTTTTGCGGCCGTCTGGAACGCTCTCCCTTCTGATATTAGGAAGCAAACTTGAGCTATGCACTTTTAAATAATCTAGATTGAAAACTCATTTGTTTAAAACGGATGTTTTTTTTTAAATTTAGTTTGATGTCCTTCCCCCACACTGCCGATGAGCATGTTTGGCTACGTACGGTGCGAAAGAAGTTCAACATACATACACGATTCGCGCAACGAGACAGAAACGATGAGCGGACTCCGGCAAGGAGATACGCTCCCACTAAAAGGGCATTTGCAGACATCTGCTGAAAATGTAATGGGAGATATAAAGGCATAAACGTAACTGTAGAGCGCATTAACCATCTCGGATTTGTTGATGAGATAGTCACCACGACAACAAACAATTACCCATAACTACAGCAAATAAATGAAGACTTTTAAGGAAGAAGAAAATAAAGACGTAGCCTGGCGTGCTTTTGGAGAAGCGCATTTGATGATGAAAAGCAGCACCGCAAACGCACCTAAGGCAGGACGTTTTCAATCATCGCAGACAGCCCGCTATGAGGTGCGTGCGACGAAACATAGACCCTGGCAAAGAAAAATAGAACGAGGAGTCGAAAAATTTGCCCAAGAGACACGGAGAGACGCACGCCTAGAATCACACTGAGAGCCAGGAGGAGGAACACATGGATGAGCGAACGACCACAAATTCGACTGTTTGGGAAAGTGAGATTGTGGTCAGTCCACATCCCGAGAAGAGATGATGGCTGGTGAATGAGAACGGTGATGTAACGGTAGCCATAGGTGGGCACACGTAAGAGAGGTTTGCCCATTATGGAGATGGAGCAATAAGATCAGCATGTGTGCAGGACTGGGATGGATTGTGGGATGGAGACGGCATGAGGAGGCCTATGGCTGCTGCAGATTAATGAATACGAAGGAATAATCATTACTAAGCATGCCGATTATCGTAACGAGCTCGTTACCCGCTCTGTTGGACATCTTCATGTTCGTGACAACCTCCTGCAGCGACGCGAGTCGGGATGATCCTTAGTTGATTTTCTGTCTCTCGTTCATTTCCTTCAACCGAGGGCAGCCGTGTCTTGTTCACGGTAGACCTGGGCCTGGCCAAATACAGAAAAGGTTCTGTGGCACACAAGAAACAAAGTGACACTTCACACACACTCAGCAACGCAAAACTTCATTCCGGAAAACTCGGGTTTCTAGGGCATAAATTGAATATTGGAGTGCACATAAATTACAGCAAACATAATATCTGGAAAACAAATGGCAGCGAGAACTAAGCCTTGAGGAATGCCCTGGGTCGATCGGAGTAAAGTCCCAAGAATTGTTTTTGCCAGTTCCTGCAAACTGGGCTCTCTGCCCTCTCCACCAAAACCCGCGGTCCACAGACCACCGGCGCTCCAGAAGACCGTGGGGAGTCGCCCTTGGAACTGTTGTCGATGCCACGACTTAGATGTCGTGATATTGGGGGTTGACAGTGGCCTGCGGGTCCTGAAAGCCAGATCACCACTCGCCGATGATGCGACGACGTGCCGATGATGAGCGCAAGGTGTGGTGGGGCATGGTGCAGTGTCAGCGGTGCAGCTGCCAATACAGTACTTATACTCTTGGGTTCTTTCGGTACACCCACGTAGGTATACAATAAAATAAAATATTTTAGATCTACGTGACTTTATCGAAAGAACCAAAGAGTATGGATTCCTGCAGTCACGAAAGCTTCAAATCAATACAGTACTTACAGAAGCCTCGTGTTAATCGTTGCGTCGCATGCTTTTTAATGTAACAAAAATGGCTTTGTTAAGATTTGATAATCGATTTATGAAGCAATTCTAATCATAATCGTGTTTTAAGCTGCTAAGTTGAATCATAGGTTTTATATATATACAACCAGACTGATCTCTGCCCCTACGTAATAATAATAATCAGTGTTAATCCATCAGGCTCTTGGATTTCCAGACCAATGCGATACAGCAGCATTTGATTAAATAAGCTCTCGACCGGTTGCAACCTTTTTAGCCTCATCAGCCATTCTTGTTATGAAAATGCTGCTGGATTGCCAGATGTTCTTGGCAAAAGCACTCCATCTAAACGATGGTTGCTTGCTGATTGAAGTAAGTAATATTAAAAAAAAACTTTTTTTGAAAAACACGCTTTAATGAAATGTACCGTACTAGTTAATGGAAGAACTCCACGACCACAGCAAGTTGAACCGAAAAGTTTGCCAAAACGTAAGGGGCCCGTGGTCAATTACAGCCAACGTGAGTTGAGCGTGGACAAATTAGACCCAAGCCGAAATATAACATATAAAAAATAATGTTTAAAAATATGTTTTTTTATGCTAGAATATAGTATTGTCATCAGTATGACATAAGTATAACAAGTTTGCAGTCGATACCACATTGGGAAGTGGGTACAAATTGAGTTACAAGATTTGAGGATACAACAACAACAACAGTGAGTTAAATAAAAGCGTGTAATAAACAAAAACAGCGATATTCGAACCCGTTAAGCATTCTTGTGGAGCAATATAGTATACCTGTCAAACCCTTAGCAGTGCCTACCTAATTACAGACTAATTCAGACCTTATTGCCCTAATTGTCTCAATGTTCATCCTACAAAGTCCCATCACAAAGGGAGAAACACAAACACATAGACAAAAAAAGTGTTTTTTGCCCGCATTGAAACGGCTGTACGCCGTATGGTTTACATGCTAATTTCTCACATTAACATCACTAGAACCAGCCACATCTTAATGACCCTTGGGCTACACCCATTTCAAACCTTTTAAAACAGTCTGCATCAGCATGCTTTCCCACCTGATGACGGACGCTTGTGTTGCGCCCGAAACGTCGTGATTTAATTTAGTTATTTTCATTTTATTCTTTTCATTATTATTTTGTATTTTTCATCCACGTGACTAATCGAAATAACCAAAGAGTATGGATCCTTGCAGTCACGAAAACTTAAAATCTAGAAGAAATACGGGGCAAACCATATGGGGTTGACAGCTGTGATATCGGTAAATACAGGCAGACGATGACCATATCAAGCCCCCTTCTTGATCCACACATCCTGCCTGCAGGAGTAAGCTGATGGACAAACTCGTTAATAATTTTAGCTTCACATTTCTTTTTACGATTTCGATTTGTCCACGTGTATGTAGAGCTTCGTCAGGCGCGGTCGCATATATTCTAAACGCCAAATAAAACAGCATTGCTTTACTGAGTTGACGAGTGTTATAGTTAACGAGTATTATAACGAACGAGTGTTATAACTAAAACGAGTGTTATAGTTAACGAGTGTTACAGCTAACGAGTATTATAGCTAACGAGTGTTATAACTGACGAGTGTTATAGCTAACGAGTGTTATAGCTAACGAGTGTTATAGTTAACGAGTGTTATAGCTAACGAGTGTTATAGTTAACGAGTTTTATAGTTAACGAGTGTTATAACTAACGAGTGTTATAACTAACGAGTGTTATAGTTAACGAGTGTTATAGTTAACGAGTGTTATAGCTAACAAGTGTTATAGTTAACGAGTATTACAGTTGACGAGTGTTATAGTTAACGAGTGTTATAGCTAACGAGTGTTATAGTTAACGAGTGTTATAGCTAACGAGTGTTATAGTTAACGAGTGTTATAACTGACGAGTGTTATAGCTAACGAGTGTTATAGTTAACGAGTGTTATAACTAACGAGTGTTATAACTAACGAGTATTATAGTTAACGAGTGTTATAACTAACGAGTATTATAGCTAACGAGTGTTATAACTGACGAGTGTTATAGCTAACGAGTGTTATAGCTAACGAGTGTTATAGTTAACGAGTGTTATAGCTAACGAGTGTTATAGTTAACGAGTGTTATAGTTAACGAGTGTTATAACTAACGAGTGTTATAACTAACGAGTGTTATAGTTAACGAGTGTTATAACTGACGAGTGTTATAGCTAACGAGTGTTATAACTAACAAGTGTTATAGTTAACAAGTGTTATAACTAACGAGTGTTATAGCTAACAAGTGGTATAGATAACGAGTGTTATAACTAACGAGTGTTATAACTAACGAGTGTTATAACTAACGAGTGTTATAGTTAACGAGTTTTTTTTTTATCTAAGCCCGTGTCTGCAACGCTGTTCTCCACCACGTTGTGGCGCTCTAGAGAGCTCACTGGGCCGTGCCTTCTAAAACGAAGGGAAATTTTTAATATTTATTTTATATATATTTTAATAGACTGTACGTGCCTCGTTGTAGCGGAATTAAAGACTCGGGAGACTCCCACAAAGGAGATTTCCACGTGTTGTGGTCCTCACTCACAGTGAGGACCACAACACCCCCTGGAATCTGACCGTACAATTGACGCGAGTTGAGTTGGAATCCACCTGATTGAAAGATAATATTTGTCTCATGAAAGGTCACATTTACCTCACTGAAGGTAAGATTCACCTCGGACAAGGTAAAATTCACCTATGACTTCGCGATTTTGCACTGGATGCCCCGTAGCCTCTACAGATCCAAACAGGTCAACCGGTCAGGTGTGAGGGTAAGGAGGATGTCAGCTGGTGAGGTCAAGAGAATGGTGGTTTCGGGGGGCCCCCCTTCATCATTACCTCCCCCCCCCCCCCCACATGTCGGCGTGCAGGCGGCACGCGGCGTGGTAATGAAAGCGATTATGTTGGAGTGGGGGGGGGGGGGGTGTTGAGAGTTAAACAGAGAAGCATTCTTGAGCTACGGGGGGATTAGTGGCTCACGGGATCCCGAGGGCCCCAGGATTAGCGGGGACCCCAGCCCCCTGGCACAATCCACCTCTCACGGCGTTCCGTGTGCCAGGCTAGGTTCGTTTTGAAGCCGTCACGTCAAGTGCCCGAGGCTCTCTGCTGGCAGGAGGCCACGGGATAGACCCAGGTGCTATGGGTGTCCACACGGACACAAATACACCCTCCACCCCCGTTAACACTACGCAGACGTTTGGGGGGCAAGTGCCGTTAGTTCAGTTTCATTTATTAGGCATAGCCCTGTGAGACATTTGGCTCGGGTGCAACCGCAACAAACAAAAACACGAACAAGGAACATCTTAAAGTGACTACGCGCGACAGAAAAATCCAGGAAAAAGCGGCAAAGTCTTCCAGAATAAGCACCGCATTTCAACGCTGTGTGCAAGACTACCTGTGGGATGAAAGTCAAACAATAGCAATCATGAGACAATTTAGATTAAAGTTATCAGTCTAACTCTGTACAACAACAAACAAACATGGCCAAACCAAAAACGTTTTCGAAATCACCAAAATAAAGCTATAAAAACAACGTAACAGTGGTCATAGGAACTGCGATTCAAATTTAACAAAACACGATACACGTAACATAGTACGACCAGACTTTGCGGCCATAGCCTGAAGCATGAGCGGTCACACGTCGGTCAACACGCTCGTTTATCACTCTCGCCACTGATGTTAGCCGTGGCCGGGAATCTAACTCAGCTGTCTCACACGCGGAGATCCCTCGGTTTATCGCACAGGTGAGATGGGAGCTCCTCCACTGCCGTGGCAACGGCGTCGCCCAGGTGAATGAGTGGGGGGTGGTGGTGGTGGTGGTGCTGCTAGGATAGGGCTCGTGCATGGCGGCATGGCAGCAAAAATAACAAGAGACAAACAAAAATGTTTCTTAGAATTCGTTGAAAGACAAAACTCGATGTTGCTCAGAGCCGCAATGCAATGCGACTACGATACGGTGGCTCCTTAATGAAATTAAAAAAAACGACACGAAAGCATCGCTTTAAATGTCTGCATTGTGCTAACGTCTCCCGGTGCTGCGGGTTGCCGACCCCTGGGCTCATGGTAGAATGGGGAGGGGGGGTCGGGTTAGGGCGAGCTGATGGGGCAGCGTATGGCTAGGCTCGGGTTAGGGCTGAGAACAACGTTAGGACGTGATTAAGGTTCAGGCTAATGGCAGTGTTAGGGCGAGGGGTTTAGGGCACGTGCAAGTGTGTGGTGATAGCGGTTAGCGATGGGCGTCAGGGTTAGGGGACTGGGGCGAGTGCTGCGGATAGAGAGATAGGGGTACATTTGGGTGGCGAGGGGTTGTTATTGTGTGTCGTGTAGGCAGCGATTGCGCAATGCTGGTGCAGAGGGGGGGGCGGGCGAGGGGGGGCAGGTACAGTGCCGCTACTTGGCTTGCGACGAGAGCTTGGGCGCAAATTGACAGGGGCTTTGGGGCCGTCCATAAATGACGTCACGCACCTGGGGGGGGTGTCAGACATTTGTAATGATGCGTGACGAGGGGGGGGGGGATTTGAGAAATGTGACGTCACATCAAAATGCGAAACTTTAAATAAATATAGACAACACGTTCTACTTAATAAAATAGACTTTTCGATTTAAAGCTTTCGTGACTGCAAGGATTCATCTTCCTTGGTTCTTTCGGTAAAGTCACGTAGAATGAGAATAAATTAATAAATTAATAAAATAACACAATAAAATTCTCACAACATGGGACATTTATTGTGCAATTTTATTTTATTATTTTATTCTCATTCTACGTGACTTTACCGAAAGAACCAAAGAAGATAAATAGACGTTTTAATAAATGTTTTCTCC